CCAGGTGTGTCCCCATCCCCAGGTGTGTCCCAGGTGTCCCCAGGTATGTCCCCAGGTGTCCCCAGGTGTGCCCCAGGTGTGTCCCCATCCCCAGGTGTGTCCCCAGGTGAGTCCCAGGTTTGTCCCAGGTGTGTTCCAGGTGAGCCCCGCCCCCCCAGGCGTCCCCAGGTGTGTCCCCAGGTGAGTCCCAGGTGTGCCCAGGTGACCTCAGGTGAGTCCCAGGTGTGTCCCAGGTGAGTCCCGGGTGGGTCCCAGGTGTGTCCCCATCCCCAGGTGTGTCCCAGGTGTGTCCCCAATGTCCCCAGGTGAGTCCCGGGTGGGTCCCAGGTGTGTCCCCAGGTGTGTCCCCATCCCCAGGTGTGTCCCAGGTGAGTCCCAGGTGTGTCCCAGGTGTGTCTCAAGTGTCCCCAGGTGCATCCAGGTGTGTCCCCATGCTCAGGTGTGTCCCAGGTGACCCCAGGTGTGTCCCAGGTGTGCCCCAGGTGTGTCCCAGGTGAGCCTCGCCCCCCCAGGTGTGTCCCCAGGTGACCCCAGGTGACCCCAGGTGTGTCCCAGGTGTGCCCCAGGTGTGTCCCAGGTGAGCCCCGCCCCCCCAGGTGTGTCCCAGGTGACCCCAGGTGACCCCAGGTGTGTCCCAGGTGTCCCCAGGTGCGTCCCAGGTGAGCCTCGCCCCCCCAGGTGTGTCCCTAGGTGTGTCCCAGGTGACCCCAGGTGTCCCCAGGTGACCCCAGGTGTGTCCCAGGTGTCCCCAGGTGTGTCCCAGGTGCGTCCCAGGTGAGCCCCGCCCCCCCAGGTGTGTCCCCAGGTGTGTCCCAGGTGACCCCAGGTGTCCTAAGGTGTGTCCCCAGGTGACCCCAGGTGACCCCAGGTGTCCTCAGGTGTGTCCCCAGGTGACCCCAGGTGACCCCAGGTGTGTCCCCAGCTCACCTGGACGCCCCGAGGGTCCCCGGCGCCATTTACCTGCCCAGGAGGAGCTCACCTGGCCAGGGGGAGGAGCTGCAGCTGATGGACGACGCCCCCTGAGCTCACCTGGAGGGGCTCACCTGGTGAAACTCACCTGGAGGAGCTCACCTGGAGGAGCTCACCTGGGACTGGAACTCACCTGGAACTCACCTGGAACTCACCTGGTGGAGCTCACCTGGAGGAGCTCACCTGGGGACTGGAACCTCTTACCTGAACTTCTCACCTGGATTCCTCACCTGAACCTCACCTGGAATCCTCACCTGGGTTCCCTCACCTGAGCCTCACCTGGATTTCCTCACCTGGAATCCTTCATCTGGAATTTCTCACCTGGAATCCTCACCTGGACCTCTCACCTGGATTTCCTCACCTGGAATTTCTCACCTGAACCTCACCTGGCCGCTCTCACCTGGAATCCTCACCTGGAATCTCTCACCTGAATCTCTTACCTGAACTCCTCACCTGAACCTCTCACCTGGAATCCTCACCTGGAATCTCTCACCTGAACCTCTCATCTGAACCTCACCTGGAATTTCTCACCTGGAATCTTCACCTGAACCTCACCTGGCTGCTCTCACCTGAACATCTCACCTGGAATCTTCACCTGGTCCTTCTCACCTTGAAGCTCACCTGGAGTGTCTCACCTGAACCTCACCTGGAATCCTCACCTGGAATCTCTCACCTGAATCTCTCACCTGAATCTCTCACCTGAACCTCTCACCTGCAATCCTCACCTGGCCGCCCTCACCTTGCTGCTCTCACCTGGAATCCTCACCTGGAATTTCTCACCTGAACCTCACCCGGCCCTCCCCACCTGGCTGCTCTCACCTGGAATCTTCCCCTGGAGTTCACCTGGAATCTCTTACCTGAACCTCTCACCTGGCTGCTCTCACCTGGGATCGCTCACCTGGAGTCCTCACCTGGAATCTCACCTGGAATCCTCACCTGGCTCCTCTCACCTGGAACCCTCACCTGGAATCTCTCACCTGAACTCCTCAGTTGAACCTCACCTGGACCTGACCTGGAGCCCTCACCTGGCCCCTCCCCCCTCCCTCTTTGGCAGCTCAGGTGTCCCCGCACACCTGGGCAGGTGAATGAATAAAAAACGGCGTCTGGAGCCCCCAGGTGTGAATTTGGGAAATTCCTCATCCCCCCCCCCAGGTGTGACAGGTGTGACTCTCAGGCGTCCCCAGACACCTCCAGGTGTGACTCTCAGGTGTCCCCATTCCCCAGGTGTGAATTTTGGGAATCCCAACCCCTCCAGGTGTCCCAGGTGTGAATTTTGGGGTCTCCAAACCTTCCCAGGTGTGAATCTCAGGTGTTCCCAACCCCTGCAGGTGAGACAGGTGTGAATTTTGGGAGGTTCTTGTTGTCCAGGTGTGAATTTTGGGAATCCCCAATCCCCTCAGGTGTGACAGGTGTGAATCCCAGGTGTCCCCAACCCCTCCAGGTGAGACAGGTGTGAATTTTGGGAATCCCAACCCCCTCAGGTGTGACAGGTGTGAATTTCGGGATGCCCCAATCCCCCCAGGTGTGAATCTCAGGTGTCTCCAAACCCTCCAGGTGTGAATTTTGGGAGGTTCTTGTTCTCCAGGTGTGAATTTTGGGAATCCCAACCCCCTGCAGGTGTGACAGGTGTGAATCTCAGGTGTTCCCAAACCCTCCCAGGTGTGACAGGTGTGAATTTTGAGGTGTTCCCCACCCCCAGGTGCGAATCCCAGGTGTTCCCAAACACCCCAGGTGCGAATTTTGGGGCTCCCCATCCCCCCAGGTGGGACAGGTGTGAATCTCAGGTGTTCCCAACTCCTCCAGGTGTGCATTTTGGGGTCCCCCACCCCTCCAGGTGTGAATTTTGGGAATCCCCAACCGTCCCAGGTGTGACAGGTGTGAATCCCAGGTGACCCCACCCACCCCAGGTGTGAATTTTGGGGGTTCCCCCCCCCACACCTGCCCGCTGACTCCGCCCCCGAAGCTCCAGGTGAGACCGGCGATGACGTCATCAATTAATGATCTTTAATGAACGATCCAGGTGTGCCCCGCCCACCCCCAGCACTACAGAACCACCCGGAAAGGTGCGACAGGTGGGCTCAGGTGTGCCCCAGGTGAGATCAGGTGAGCTCAGGTGTGCCCCAGGTGTTCCCCAGATGAGCTCAGGTGTGCCCAGGTAAGCTCAGGTGTGCCCCAGGTGTGTTCAGATAAGCTCAGGTGTCCCTCAGGTGAGCTCAGGTGTGCCCCAGGTGTTCCCCAGATAAGCTCAGGTATGCCCAGGTAAGCTCAGGTGTGCCCCAGGTAAGCTCAGGTGAGCTCCGGTGTTGTCAGGTGTGTCCCAGGTAAGCTCAGGTGTGTCCCAGGTGTACCCCAGGTGTGTTCAGGTGTGCCCAGGTGTGTTTAGGTGTGCCCCAGGTAAGCTCAGGTGAGCTCCGGTGTTGTCAGGTGTGTCCCAGGTGTGCCCAGGTGTGTTTAGGTGTGCCCAGGTGTGTTTAGGTGTGCCCCAGGTGAGCTCAGGTGTAGTCAAGTGTGTCCCAAATGTGCCCAGGTGTGCTCAGGTGTGCCCCAGGTGTGCCCAAAGTGTGCCCAGGTGTGTCCCAAATGAGCTCAGGTCCCAGGTGTGCCCAGGTGAACCCCAGATGTGCTCAGGTGCACCCAGGTGTATCTGAGGTGTGCCCCAGGTGTGTTCAGGTGTGTCCCAGGTGAGCTCAGGTGTGCTCAGGAGTGCCCAAAGTGTGCCCAGGTGTGTCCCAAATGTGCCCAGGTGAGCTGTCCCTGTCCCATTGTCCAAGAGGGAAAATCCGGGTCCTGGGAAGGCCCCGCCCCATCCAGGTGTGCACCTGCCCCATCCAGGTGTGCTCATCCAGGTGTGCACAGCCCCATCCAGGTGTGCCCTGCCCCATCCAGGTGTGCTCCACCCCATCTTGGGGCTCCGGTGTCGCTGTCCAGGTGTTGCTGCTGCAGATTTGGGGTCCACACCTGTCCAGGTGTGCAGGTCCGGGGTTCCCACACCCGGTCAGGTGTGAGGTTTCAGGTTCCACACCTGTGCTGGGGTGGAGTTCTGGGGTTTCCACTCTTGGGGCTCAGGTGTCGCAGTCCAGGTGTTGCAGGTGAAGCTTTTTGGGGTCCAAACTCAATTTTTGGGGTCCACACCTGTCTAGAGTCACAGATCTGAAGTCTCCTCACCTGTGGCTCAGGTGTCACTGTCCAGGTGTTCCTGCCACACCTTTCTGGGGTCCAAACTCAATTTTTGGGGTCCACACCTGTCCGGGCTCACAGGTACCGAGTCCTTCCACCTGGGGCTTCATCCACGGGGCTCAGGTGCTCCAGGTGAAGACACCACACCTGTCCAGGTGTGCAGTTCTGGGGTTCCCACACCTGGGGCTCAGGTGTCACAGTCCAGGTGTTCCCGCCACACCTTTTTGGGGTCCAAACTCAGTTTTTGGGGTGCACACCTGTCCAGGTGTTGCTGCTGCACATTTCAGGTGTTCACAGAAGATTTTTGGGTTCACACCTGTCCGGGCTCACAGGTACCGAGTCCTTCCACCTGGGGCTTCATCCACGGGGCTCAGGTGCTCCAGGTGAAGACACCACACCTGTCCAGGTGGTCAGTTCTGGGGTTCCCACACCTGGAGCTCAGGTGTCGCTGTCCAGGTGTTACCACCACACCTTTCTGGGGTCCAAACTCAATTTTTGGGTTCACACCTGTCCAGGTGTTACCACCACACCTTTCTGGGGTCCAAACTCAATTTTTGGGTTCACACCTGTCCAGGTGTTATCACCACACCTTTCTGGGGTCCAAACTCAATTTTTGGGTTCACACCTGTCCAGGTGTTACCACCACACCTTTCTGGGGTCCAAACTCAATTTTTGGGTTCACACCTGTCCAGGTGTTACCACCACACCTTTCTGGGGTCCAAACTCAATTTTTGGGTTTCACACCTGTCCGGGCTCACAGGTACCGAGTCCTTCCACCTGGGGCTTCATCCACGGGGCTCAGGTGACGCCACCACGCCTTTCCCGTGCCCCTCACCCGTCCAGGTGAGCGCGTCTCAGGTGTCGCGGTGCACGCGCCGGTGCTGCAGCAGGTTGGAGGGGTGCGCGAAGCCCTTGGCGCACACGCCGCACTTGTAGGGCGTCTCGCCCGTGTGCACCTTCTCGTGCACGGCCAGGTAGGCCAGGTCCTTGAAGAAGCGGTGGCAGTGCCGGCACTGGTGCGGCCGCGCGGGGCTGTGGGCGCGCCGGTGCTGCAGCAGCAGCGAGGGCCGCGCGAAGGCCTTGCCGCACGCCTCGCACCGGTACGGCCGCTCGCCGGTGTGGGCGCGCTGGTGCACGGCCAGGTAGGAGGACTGCTTGAAGGCCTTGCCGCAGGTGCGGCAGGCGAAGGGGCGCTCGCCCGTGTGCACGCGCGCGTGCGAGGCCAGCGCGTTGCTCTGCTTGAAGGCCTTGCCGCAGAGCGCGCAGCGGAAGGGGCGGTCGCCGGTGTGCACGCGCTCGTGCACGCGCAGCGAGTGCCCGTGGGCGAAGCGCTTGCCGCAGACGCCGCAGGCGTGCGGCTTGTCCTGGCAGCGGCGCCGCCGGTGCAGCAGCAGCGCGCCGGCCGCCGGGAAGGCCTTGCCGCACTCGCCGCACCGGAGCGGCGCCGCCTCCGACGCGGCGGCGGCCAGGTGCGTCAGGGCGTGGCGCCGGCGCTCGTAGGGCGTCTTGAAGGACTTGGCGCAGGCGGCGCAGGCGAAGGGGCGCTGGCCGCTGTGGGTGCGGCGGTGCTCCTGCAGGTTGGAGGAGCGCTTGAAGCGCTTGCCGCAGAGGTCGCACCTGTGCGGGCGCTCCTCGGTGTGCACCAGGGCGTGGCTCTTGAAGTCCGAGTGGCGCTTGAAGGTGGCGCGGCACAGGTGGCAGGTGAAGGGGCGCGCCTCGGTGTGCACCACCTGGTGGCTCAGCAGCTCCCAGGTGCGCTTGAAGCTCTTGGGGCAGGCGGGGCACTGGAAGGGTTTGTCGGCCACGATCACCCGGCGGATCTCCAGGTGGGCAGGTAGATCCTCCTCCTCCTCCTCCTCCTTACCTGCGGCGCCTTCCTCCTCCTCGCTGCCGTCCTCGTTCCCGGGCTCACCTGGCGCACCTGAGCGCCCGCCCAGCACCAGCTTGGCGGTGGAGTAGACGCCGCGCTCGTCGATGAGCTGCACGAAGCCGGGCGTGGCGGCCTCACCTGGCTCAGGTGAGGGTGGGGCGCCGGGTGGGCGGGGCCAGGGGGGCTGCAGGTGGGAGGGGCCGGGTTCGGCCAGGGGTGGGCGTGGCCGCAGGTAAAGGCGGGGCCGGCGGGAGGAGGGGGCGCCTGGAGGGGGGCGCACCTGGAGGGAGGCACCTGGGTGGTCTTCGCAGTCATCGTCACCTGGATCTTCATCATCGTCACCTGGATCTTCATCATCATCACCTGGATCCTCTTCATGATCATCACCTGGTTCTTCCTCACCAGGATCTTCATAATCACCTGGTTCTTCCTCACCTGGTTCTTCCTCATCACCTGGGTATTCATCATCACCTGGATCTTCCTCACCTGGATCTTCTTCCTCACCTGGTTCTTCACCTGTTCCTTCCTCACCTGTCCCTTCTTCCTCCTCATCTCGTCCTTCTTCCTCCTCACCTGGCTGCTCTTCCTCCTCCTCACCTGGCTGCTCCTCCTCCTCACCTGTTCCTTCTTCCTCCTCACCTGGCTGCTCTTCCTCCTCCTCACCTGGTTCCTCCTCCTCCTCTTCCTCGGACAGGTGAGGGATCACCTGGGCAAAGGGGGAATGGCCCTCCATGGTCGCACCTGGAAAAGGGGGTGGGGACAGGTGAGACAGGTGGGGGACAGGTGGGGGACAGGTGGGGGACAGGTGAGGATTTGGGGATCCCTCAGGAATCTTCTGGGCTGAATTTGGGGATCCCCTCGGGAATTCCCAGGGATGGATTTTGGGGATCCCCCTGGGATGGATTTTGGGGATCCCCCCCTATGGATTTGGGGATCCCTCAGGAATCTCCTGGGCTGAATTTGGGGATCCCTTTGGGAATCTCCTGGGCTGAATTTGGGGATCCCTTTGGGAATTCCCTGGGATGGATTTTGGGGATCCCCTGAGTTGAATTTTGGGGTCACCTTGGGAATTCTCTGAGGTGAATTTGGGGATCCCCTTGGGAATCTCCTGAGTGGGATTTGGGGAATCCCGGGAACACCCCGAGGTGAATTTGGGGATCCCCCCGGGAATTCCCAGGGATGGATTTTGGGGATCCCTTTGGGAATTCCCTGGGCTGGATTTTGGGGATCCCTTTGGGAATTCTAAGGGATGGATTTTGGGGATCCACCCTGGGATGGATTTGGGGATCCCTTGAGTTGAATTTTGGGGATCCCCATGGGAATCTCCTGAGTGGGATTTGGGGATCCCCCTCACGGATTTGGGGATCCCTTTGGGAATTCCCTGGGATGGATTTTGGGGATCCACCCTGGGATGGATTTTGGGGATCCCTTTGGGAATTCTAAGGGATGGATTTTGGGGATCCCTTGAGTTGAATTTGGGGTCCCTTTGAGAATTTTGAGGTGGATTTGGGGATCCCTTTGGGAATTCCCTGGGATGGATTTTGGGGATCCACCCTGGGATGGATTTTGGGGATCCCCTCGGGAATTCCCTGGGATGAATTTGGGGATCCCTTTGGGAATTCCCTGGGATGGATTTGGGGATCCCCCAGGAATGGATTTTGGGGATCCCCTCGAGGACCCCCCCAGGTGGAGCTCGGGGATTTGAACAATCCCAGGAACGACCAAAAAAAAAATTCGGGGAATTCCAGAGAATTTGAGCGGTTCTGAAAAATCCCCAAAATAATCCGGGATCCCAAAATCCAGGATCTCCAAATCCGGGATCCCAAAATAATCCCGGATCCCAAAATCCCGGATCCCAAAAATGCGGGATCCCAAAATAATCTGGGATTCCGTAATTTGGGATCGGAATTCCGGGAATTTCAAAGTCATTGAAGAGGCTCCAAAACCCCCAAAATCCAGGATAGGAATTTTGGGAATTCCAAGGAGGCCCCAAATCCCAAAATCCCAAAATCTGGGATCACGATTTTGGGAATTCCGATGGATCCAAAGAGGCCCCAAAATCCCCAGATCTCAAAGTCCCCGCATTCCCAATATTCCAAAATCCTTAAACCTCAAAATCCCGAAAATCCCCAAATTCCAAAACCCCGAAATTCCAAATCCCAAATCCCCCAAATTCCAAAATCTCAAACCCCCAAAATCCCAAAATCCGGGATCGCAATTTTGGGAATTTTGATGTCACCATCAGGGACCGAAATCCCAAAATTTGGGATCAAAATTCCGGGAATTCCAAAGTCATTGAAGAGCCCCAAAACCCCAAAATCTGGGATTGAAATTTTGGGAATTCCGGTGTCTTGGAGGCCCAAAAATCCCAAAATCTGGGATCAGAATTTTGGGAATTCTGATAGCTTTGAGGAGGCCTCAAAATCCCCAAATCCCCAAATCCCAAAATCCCAAATCCCCAAAAATCCCAAATCCCCAAAATCCCAAAATAAAAAACTCAAAATCCCAAAATCCCCAAATCCCAAAATCCCCAAATCCCAAAATACAGGATCGCAATTTTGGGAATTTTGATGTCACCACCAGGGACCGAAATCCCAAAATTTGGGATCAAAATTCCGGGAATTCCAAAGTCATTGAAGAGCCCCAAAACCCCAAAATCTGGGATTGAAATTTTGGGAATTCCGGTGTCATGGAGGCCCAAAAATCCCAAAATTTGGGATCAGAATTTTGGGAATTCTGATGGATTCAAAGAGGCCCCAAAATCCCCAAACCCCAAAATCCCCAAATCCCAAAACCCCAAATCCCCAAAATCCGGGATCGCAATTTTGGGAATTTTGATGTCACCACCAGGGTCCAAAATCCCAAAATTTGGGATCAGAATTCCAGGAATTCCAAAGTCATTGAAGAGGCCCCAAACCCCAAAATCTGGGATTGGAATTTTGGGAATTCAGAGGAGACCCAAAATCCCAAAATCCAGGATTGGAATTTTGGGAATTCCGGCGTCATGGAGGCCCAAAAATCCCAAAATTTGGGATCAGAATTTTGGGAATTCTGATGGCTCCGAGGAGGCCTCAAAATCCCCAAACCCCAAAAATCCCAAAATCCCAAATCCCCAAAATCCCCAAATCCCCAAACCCCCAAACCCCAAAAATCCCAAATCCCCAAAATCCCAAAACAAAAACTCAAAATCCCAAAATCCCAAAATCCCAAAATCCCAAAATCCCAAAATCCGGGATGGGAATTCTGGGAATTGGGGACGGAATTCCCGTTTTTGGGTGCCAGGATGGGATGGGGATAAACGAGGTGCTGTGAATATGCAAATGATGCATTTGCATCTCATTAGTGATCGGGGCGGGGATTCCTGCAGGGGATTCTGGGAATTTGGGAATTTTCTGGGAATTTAGGATTTTGGTAATTTGGGGTTTTTGGGATTTTGGGATTTGGGATTTTCTGGGAATTCGGGGATTTTGGGAATTTCTGGGAATTTGGGATTTTTGGGATTTTGGGATTTGGGATTTTCTGGGATTTTGGGGTTTCTGGGATTTGGGGTTTTTTGGATTTTGGGATTTGGGATTTCTGGGAATTTGGGATTTTGGGATTTGGGATTTTCTGGGAATTTGGGATTTTGGGAATTTGGAGTTCGGGGAATTTGGTGATTTGGGATCCCCTGGGCAGGAATTTGGGATTTGGGATCCCCTGGGTTGGGATTTTGGAATTTGGGATCCTCTGAGGGGAATTTGGGATTTGGGATCCCTCGGGATGGATTTGGGATCCTCTCAGGGATCTGAGGGTTTGGGATTTGGGATTTTGGGATCTCCTGGGCTGGAATTTGGGGTTTGGGATCCCTCAGGGTTGGGATTTTGGGATTTGGGATCCTCCAAGTTGGGATTTTGGGATCCTCTCAGGGATCTCTGGGATTTGGGATCTCCTTGGGTGGGATTTGGGATTTGGGATCCCCTGGGCTGGAATTTGGGATTTTGGGAATTCAGGGTTTTTAGGAATTTGGGATTTTGGGAATTTGGGGAATTTGGGATTTTGGAATCCCCTGGGCTGGAATTTGGTGATTTGGGATCCCTCAGGATGGGATTTGGGGTTTGGGAATTCCCTGCACTGGGATTTGGGGATTTGGGATCCCTTCAAGGGGGAATTTGGGGTTTGGGATCCCTCAGGGTTTGGGATTTTGGGGTTTGGGATCCCCCGAGGGGGAATCTGGGATCCCCTGAGGGGAATTTTGGGATTTTGGGAATTCTTTGGGATGGGATTTGGGGATTTAGGATTCGGGAATTCCCTGCGTTGGGGTTTGGGGATTTGGGATCCTCTGAGGGAGAATTTGGGATTTGGGAATTCTTTGAGATGGGATTTTGGGGTTTGGGAATTCTTGGGACGGGTTTGGGATCCCCAAAACTGGGGATTTGGGATCTCCAAAAATTCGGGATTTTGGATTTGGGACCCTCAAAATTCGGGATTTGGGACCCGGGATCCACTTGGGAACGGCCCCAGTAAATCCCAGTAAATTCCGGTCCATCCCAGTCCCTCCCAGTTTATCCCAATCCCATCCCAATCCCATCCCAGTCCCTCCCAGTCCATCCCAGTTTATCCCAGTCCATCCCAGTCCATCCCAGTCCATCCCAGTCTCTCCCAGTTTATCCCAATCCATTCCAGTCTCTCCCAGTTTATCCCGGTCCATCCCAGTCCCTCCCAGTCCATCCCAGTTTATCCCAATCCCATCCCAGTCCATCCCAGTCTCTCCCAGTTTATCCCGGTCCATCCCGGTCCATCCCGGTCCATCCCAGTCCATCCCAGTCTCTCCCAGTTTATCCCGGTCCATCCCGGTCCATCCCAGTCCATCCCAGTCTCTCCCAGTTTCTCACCGGGCGCCGCCGCCGCCCCCGGAGCCACTTCCGGCCGCGTTCGCGCGCGATGACGTCACCGCCGGAATGGGCGGGGCCTGAGCGGGAACTGGGAGGGGACTGGGACAAACTGGGACAAACTGGGACAAACTGGGACAAACTGGGATAAACTGGGATAAACTGGGATAAACTGGGAGGGGTTTGGGGGAGATTTAAAAGGGAATTTTAGGGAGAAACGGATCCCAAAATCAGGGGTTTCCCGCCAAAAATCGGGGGGTTCCCGCCAAAATTTGCGATCGAACCCCCAAAATCGGGGATTTAAACCCAAATATCCGGGATGTGAAACCTCAAAAATTCGGAATTGAAGCCCAAAATCGGGGATTGAACCCCCAAAAATTTGAATTTCACCCCAGATTTCGGGGATTTCACCCAAAACATGGGAGAATAGACCCCAAAAATCGGGGATTTAAACCCCAAAAATCGGGGCTTTAACCCCCCCCAAAAATCGGGGATTTAATGCAAAATCGGGGATTGAACCCCAAAAATTTTGAATTTCCCGCCAAAAATCTGGGATTTGAACCCCAAAAAATGGGGGATTCCCCCCCCAAAATCAGGGATTTAACCCCCCAAAAATCGGGGATTGAAACCCAAAAATCCTGGATTGTGAAACCTCAAAAATTCGGAATTGAAGCCCAAAATCGGGGATTTCACTCCAAAATCGGGGATTGAACCCCAAAAATTTTGAATTTCACTCCAAAAATCGGGGATTTAAACCCTCGCCCCCCCCAAAAAAAGGGATTTGAAAGCCCAAAATTGGGAGGCTTCACCCCAAAAATCGGGGATTTAACCCCAAAATCGGGGATTTCACGCCGAAAATCGGGGAATGAACCCCAAAAATTTGAAATTTCATGCCAAAAATTCGGGGATTTCACCCCAAAAATCGGGAATTTAACCCCAAAACTGGGAATTTCCGGCCAAAAATCGGGGATTTAACCCCAAAAGTTGAGGAATTTCACCACAAAAATTGGGAATTGAAGCCCAAAAACTGGGGATTTAACCCCAAAATCGGGAATTTAACCCCAAAACTGGGAATTTCCGGCCAAAAATCAGGGGATTGAACCCCAAAATTCGGGGATTTCACCCCAAAAATCCGGGATTTGAAACCCCAAAAATCAGGGATTTAACCCCCCAAAATCAGGGATTTTACCCCCCAAAAAACGGGATTTGAAACCCCCAAAATCGGGGATTGAACTCCAAAATCGGGGATTTCCTGCCAAAACCTGGGGATTTAATCCCAAAAATTGGGAATTTCCCACAAAAATCGGAAGTCCCACCAAAAATCGGGGATTTCACCCCAAAAAATCGGGGGTTGAAACCCAAATCAGGGAATTTCCTCCCAAAATTCGGGGATTTCACCCCAAAACCCCGGACATTTAATTGCAAAAATTCGGGGATTCACCCCAAAAATCGGGAATTAATCCCCAAATGGGAGATTTCCCGCCAAAAGTCTCTGATTCAAGCCCAAAAATCAGGGATTTGCCCCCCCAAAATAGGGGATTAAACCCCAAAATCGGGCATTGAACCAAAAAAAAATCTGGGATTCAGCCCCAAAATTGGGGATTTAAACCCAAAAACTCAAGAATTTTCTCCCCCAAAACCCGGGGATTTAACCCCCCAAAAATTGGGGATTTAACCTCAAAAATCGAGGATCGAAGGCCAAAAATTGGAGATTTCAACCCAAAAATTGGGAATTCCTCCCCAAAATTGGGGATTTAACACCAAAATCGGAGATTCCCGCAAAAAAATCGGGGATTCCCGGCCAATATTCTGAGATTTCACCCCAAAACCGCATTTTCCCCTCAGAGTGGGATTGCAGGATTTGGGGTCATCCCAAAAAAGGGAATTTTGAGGAGAAAGGAATCCCAAAATCGAGGAGTTCCACCCCAAAAATCATCTCATTACACGGATGGGACTGGGAAATTTGGGATTTAACCCCAAAAAAGAAAATTTCGGTTTTTTCATCCCAAAACCGTGTTTCCCAATCAGGGTGGGATTGGAGGATTTGGGATCACTTCAAAAAAAGGGAATTTTCAGGAGAGAGGGATCCCAAAATTGGGGATTTCCCACAAAACCCGGGGATTTAACCCCAAAAATCCGTGATTTGAAACCTCAAAATCAAGAATTTATTCGCAAAAATCGAAGATTTTCCCCCCAAAATCGGGGATTTTCCACCAAAAATTGAGAATTCCCCTCAAAAAATTGGAGATTTTCCCAAAAAAATTTGGATTAAATGCCGAAAATCGGGGATTGAAGCCAAAAAATCGGGTTTTAGGCCCAAAATCGAGGATTTAAACCCAAATGTCGGGGAATTTTCCCAAAAAAGCAGTTCCAGTTCAGGGTGGGATTGGGGAAATTGGGATCACCCCATACAAATTGGAATTTCGGTTTTTTACCCCAAAATCTCTGTTCTGACGAGGGTGGGATTCGAACCCACGCATGCAGAGAACAATGGATCAGCAAAAAAGGGAATTTTCACGTGAGAGAGATCCCAAAATTGAGGTGTTTCCCCCAAAAATCATCTGCGGAGATTGGAGAATTTGGGATTGAAACCCTAAAAAAGAAAATTTGGGGGTTTTCACCCAAAAATGTTATTCTCGACGAGGGTGGGATTCGAACCCACGCGTGCAGAGCACAATGGATTAGCAGTCCATCGCCTTAACCACTCGGCCACCTCGTCCGCGGCTGCGCGCCCGCGCCCAGCGCCCATAGGCTGCGCTAAGGGGGCGTGGTCAGCGCTGGGGGCGTGGTTAGGGGCGGTGTCAGGGCGCGGCTTCAGCTCCGAGGATTGCGGGTTCGAATCCCGACCCGGCCAAATACGGGAAAATCCCAATCTTCTCTTTTATTATCCCAATTTTTTTCCCCCAGATCTCTCCTTGTTCTTTCCGAGTTATCTCAAATTTTATTTTTTTTTATTTTTTCTCTATTCTTTTTTTTTTTCCCGAAATGAGAAATAAAATAAAGAAGAGAAAAATTAAATTTAAACTAAGGGGAAAGTGAAAGAAAAAAATAGAAAAGTTAAATTTCAAATATAAAAGTTACATTCGAAAAGAAGATCTGAAATTAAAAAGGGAAAAAAATGAATAAAAAAGGAAATTGAATAAAAAAGGGACAACTAAAATTTAAGAAGGGAAAAATAAAATAAAAAAAAAAAATTAAATAAAAAAAGGGAAGATTAACTAAAAAAAGGAAAAAAATAAATTTTATAACGGGGAAATTAAATAAAAGGGAAATTTAAAAACAAAATGAACAAAAACCCCGTAAAAATTAAACGAAAAATTAAAAATAAAACCCTCAATGAAACTGTTGGGGAAAGCGCGGGACCGAAGCGGCGCCAGCAGTGAAGAAATCGCGAGATTTCCTTGCTGGTGACGTCATCGGTAGCCAGGTACATTAAGGTTTAATCGGGAGAGGGGTTGCAGCAGCAGAGTGGCGCAGCGGGAGCGTGCTGGGCCCATAACCCAGAGGTCGATGGATCGAAACCATCCTCTGCTAGCTGGAGTTTTTCCCACTCTTTCCCCAAATTTTCCTATTTTTTCTTAATTTTTCTCTTTATTTTCCCTTTCCCCCCTCATTTTCCACTCAATTTTCCACATTAATTTCAATTTTTTCCCACAAATTTTCCCCATTTTCCCCCTCATTATCTCATCAATTTTCCCTTTTCCCCCCTCAATTTTCCCATTTTCCCCCTCATTTTCTCATCAATTTTCCTTTATTTTCCCCTCAATTTTTCTGGTTTTTTCCCTATTTCCCTCATTTTCCACTCAATTTTCCAATTTCATTTCAAATTTTTCCCTCATTTTCCCCATTTCCCCCTCATTTTGTCCTCAAATTCCCCGTTTTTCCCCTTCATTTTCTCATCAATTTTCCCTTTTTTCCCCTCAATTTTTCAATTTTTTTCATCGTTTTCCCGATTTTTACTTCAATTCTCCCTCATTTTTTCAACCATTTTCCATTTTTTCCTTCATTTTTACCACATTCTACCCTCAATTTTTCTGTTCATTTTCCTTTTTCCCCTCATTTTCCACTCCATTTTTCAATTTCATTTCAATTTTTTCCCTCATTTTTTCCATTTCCCTCAAATTTTCGCATCAATTTTCCTTTTTTTTTTTTTCCTCAAATTTCCGGTTTTTTTTCGTTTCCCCCCCTCATTTTTCCTCCTAAATTTTTCCATATATTCAAGGTTTTTTCCATCATTTGGAAATTTGGGTTCTGGGGTCTTAAAATTTGGGGGAGGAAAAATTGTGATTTTTGGGTATTTTTTCCTTTTTAGGGGAGAGGGAATTTGGGATTTTTGGGGAGGAAAATTTAGGAAATTTTGGGTTTTTTTCTTTTTGGGGGAAGGGAAATTTGGGATTTTTTTGTGGAGGAAAAATTTGAGATTTTGGGGGTTTTCTCCTTTTTGGGGGAATTTTGGATTTTTTTCCATTTTGGGGGAGGAAAATTTGGGATTTTATGGGTTTTCTCCATTTTGGGGTTTTCCATTTATGGGGAAGGGAAATTTGGGAATTTTGGGGTTTTTATTTTTCCTTTTCAGGGGAGGCGAAATTCGGGATTTTTTGTGGAGGAAAAATTTGGGAATTTAGGGATTTTTTCTTTTTATGGGGGGAGGAAATTTGGGATTTTTGGAATTTTTCCTTTGCTGGGGAAGAAAAATTTGGGAATTTGGGGTTTTCCCTTTTGAGGGAGGAAAATTGGGGATTTTTTTTAGGGAAAGAAATTTGGAATTTTGGGGTTTATTTCTTCTTTTATGGAGAGGAAATTTGGGGTTTTTGTGGAGGAAAAATTTGGGAATTTTAGGATTTTTCCTTTCTAGGGGGAGAGAAAAAAGAAAAATTGAGATTTTTAGGGTTTTCCCTTTTTAAGGGGAGGGGAAATTTTGGATTTTGGGGTCTCGGAAATTTGGGACTTTTAGGGTGGGAAAATGTGGGAATTTTGGGGTTTTTCCTTTTAGGGGAGAGGAAACTTGGGATCTTTTTGGGGGGAAAAATTT